GTTGGTGTGCGGAGGCCTTTAGGAGTGTTCTTTTGGTTATTTTTTAGGACCAGTGGGTGGTCCTAAATGTTACCCACCGGACCTCTAGCATCGTTTTTCTTTCACATCATTTATTTATTGTTTGAACTAACCCGGGCCACTTGATTTCTGATTTGATGGAGGCTCTGGATCTCCAACTGACTATCAACTGAAGATTGTGAACATGTTTGACACTTCTAAAGCCTGTGTCTGTGCTTTTTCTTTGTTTGTTGTTTCACTGAATGACGGACTAACTTTGACTCCTCTGTCACAAAAGAGCAGGAAAAAAACAAGCCCATTGGTCATCAGTGTTGTTGTGCTTAATGTCTCTAGCTGTCACAGCTGAACAATGTCGATTCACCTCCAGTGAATAGTCTGTGTGTGCCTGCGCTTATGTGTGGAGCCATGAAAGACAGTAGTGCTAAGCTGCTTAACTGGGGTGAGGTCTTTGGCTGGTGGGGCACTGGCCTGGTTGTGGGCCAATGATTTTTCTGCTGGGCAAGTGGTAGTCAGTGTGTTTTTTGTGGTAGTCCAAAGACTGAGACTGATCGGATTATTCCATGGCTGTTTGATTGGCAGAAAGCTCCTGCAGCTATTTGTAAAGCGTCTGGAGATTCATTGGCCATTCAAAAGGCTATATTGTTGCCCACGACTAGCATACCTTATATAAACTGGTTACTTCCTTCACAAGACTAATCCATTTGAAAGTCTTTGTAGGCACTAAGGTCAGAACACAAATATACAGAAGCTAAGAATAGATCTCTGCGCACACACTTGTGTAATGGTCTAAAACCTTCCTATGTACTGAGGCATAAGATCCATTAATGCTTCTGGCTGTCCCACATTAGGTATTGACTGTTTGCTTTAATCCTGCAGACATACAGCAAGCCTTCAAAATGAGCAGCCCACAAAAGGACATGACACGGCCAAAATATTCCAAGAAAATTGTCCTTAAATTGGTGCTTATTGTTTTTTTCATTCTTTCTCTTCTCACACTGTGTACCATCTCAGAAAATGTTAGCTTCTCCAAGTACCACCATTATGACCAATGTTAAAATACAGTAGTGTAGACAGACACTATTCAGCTCGGACAGTACATGTAGGAAGCAAGTTTATTCCTAAAAGAAGATTATTTATTGTTGACTGTTGTTGAATCCTGAACTGAAAGCAGTTCAACAACCAGAGCTAATTTGGTTGAAAAGGGATACCTTCGATCAACACTTATCTTCCCAATAATTCCCCTTTGTATCCACGATTAACTTGCCATCACATTTTAGTTTGTAACTAGTCATGGGTCTGTGTGTGCGCTACGTGCATGAACAGGACTATCCAGCAGGCTGATATGGAGACAAAAGTATTACAGGAAATACAAAACTTTAAATTACATTTCAGCAAACTCATAGTTTAAGTTTTTTCATTTGAAATGTTGTAGTATTTTGATATGGTTTTAAATGTACCTTTCCTATTGTAAGTTCTACCGTTCATGTGAAATGGAAATCAAGTTGTTCCTTTGTCAGCCACCATGGGGCTTCACTGTGTTGAATTTATTTATATTTTGGTTTAAATACGGTCTAAAATGAATTGAGCATTTGAGTATTTCCTGTGTCAGCTACAGGCTGTCAGTTACTGACCCTAGGGGAATTGGCAGTTACAGCCCTGTGTTAAAGGAAACTGAAACCCCAAGTGTGTGCGTGTGCGTGTGCGT